GGTTTGGTTTTTTTAAAAAATGTATTTATGAGGGATATTGGTCCGTAATTTTCTTTTTTTTGTGGTATCTTTGCCTGGCTTTGGTATCAGAGTTATGCTGGCTGCTACAGAATGAATCCGGGAGTATTCCTTCATTTTCTATGCTCTGAAATAGTTTGAGTAGTATTGGTATGAGCTCTCCTGTATGTTTGGTAGAATTGTCCCCTGAACCATCCAGGGCAGTGCCTTTTTTGACTGGTTTATTTCTTCTTTAATCTCTTCTTTTGTTAAGAGTTTGTTCAGTTTTTCTACCTTAGTTTGTGTTAGTTTAGGTAGGTAGTGTGTTTCTAGAAATTTGTCAATTTCCTCTAGGTTTTCATATTTGTTGGAGGACAATTTTTCATAGTATTCTGTTATGACCCTTTTTATTTCAGTTGGTTTTGTTGTAATGTCGCCCACATCATTTCTTATTCGGGTTATTTGCTTTCTCTCCTGGTTTTCTTTTGTCAGTTTGGCCAATGATTTGTTGATTTTGTTGATCCTTTCAAAGAACCAACTTCTTGTCTTGTTGATTCTTTTTCTGTTCTCTTTTCATTTATTTCTGCTCTATTCTTTATTATTTCCTTTCTTCTGTTGACTGTGGGCTTCTTTTGCTGCTCTCTTTGTATTTGTTTGAGTTGTAGGGTTAATGCTTTGATTTTGACCTTTTCTTCTTTTTTGATGTGTGCATTTATTTCTATAAATTGTCCTCTGAGCACTGCTTTTGCTGTGTGTCAAAGGCTTTGTAAGACGTGTTTTCATTCTCATTTGATTCTAGGAATTTTTCTTATTTCAGCTTTGATTGCTTCTCTTACTCATTGGCTTTTAAGCAAGGTGTTATTCAGTTTCCATGTATTTGATTTTTTTTCCTTGCTCTTCCTATTTTTGATTTCAACTTTTATAGCGTTGTAGTCAGAGAAAATGCTCTGTATTACTTCAATGTTTTGGATTTTATTGAGGCTTGCTTTGTGGCCTACAATGTGGTCTATTTTGGAGAATGATCCATCTGCATTGAAAAAGAATGTATACTTTGCTGCTATTGCATGGAGTGTTCTGTATATGTCTGGGAGGTCAAGTTGACTGACTGTGGCAATTAGATCTTCTGTAACTTTTTTAAGTTTTCTTTCTAGATGTTCTGTCCTTCACCAAAAGTGGTATGTTGAAATCTGTTATTGTGGAACTGTCTATATTTCTTTTTAATGCTGTTAAAGAGTTTATTTTGTGTATTCTGATGCCTTGCCATTGGATGCATATATATTATGGTTATGTCCTCTTGGTGGATTGATCCTTTAATCATTATATAATGGCCTGCCTTATCTTTTATGGTGGATTTTGCCCTAATGTCTATTTTATTAGAGATTAATATTGCCACTCCTCTGTTTTGGTTATTGTTTGTTTTTCATCCTTTGAGTTTTAGTTTATTAATGTCTTTGTGTCTAAGGTGTGTCTTTTATAGACAGCATATTGATGGGTCTTTTTTTTTTAAATCCATTCTGCCACTGTCTGTCTCTTTACTGGTACATTTAAGCCATTGATACTCTGTGTGATTACTGACAGGTATGTTTACTGCTATCATTTTGTTGTTTTTTGTTTTTGTGGTGTTGACAATTTCTTTGTTATGCTCACTTTTCTGTGATTTCTTTTTGATTGTGGATGTTCTTTTCATTTCTTTCATTGTTGTTGATTTTGTGAATACTGAGACTTTATGTTTTTCTTCTTTTTTATTTTGATGAGTAGGTTTGTTAACTTTCTTTGTGGTTAGCTTGAAATTTACCTTTACCTTCCTAAGTTTAAAGCATTCTTTTATTTCTTGATACCACCTTCACGTCCTCTCCATATGAAAGATCTATAACTACACCATTTATTCCCCATTTTTGTTTTGATGTTGTCATTATTTACAGATTGAAGTCTCTAGTTCCCTGTTTTCAGTCTTTTAGTTGTTTTTT